TTGTTCACACAAAAGTAATGGGAGAAGCTCTATGAAAAAAAAAAAGAATTCTTAAGCCATGGATATAATTTTAATATATGAAATATGCTACCACCATAACATTGAAAATTTCACTCAAAACTAGGTGCGAGCTTTCATTATATCCATTAATTTTTTAAGAAGATTCTAGATTTCTTCGCACTATCAAACCGATGCCATAAAATTCATAAGTTCACAACCATGCTTCGCTAAGGGCAATACTTTATGTCATACGAATGAACTCAAATCAAAGTAAAGTTAAGGCGTAGAACATCAAAATCTAACCCAAGAGATATAGTAACGACTACAAATATATGTATAAAAGCTCCTACCACATGTACCCTTTCTTCTAACCATCAAGAGAATTACCAAAATATGCCAATTCTCCGACTATGAAATAAATCTTTCATTACTTCCAAGAACTTTAAATCAAAGAAAAAAAAAAAGCTCTACGAATAGAATCGCTATTCTCCAAATCAACTAAACCCCTTCAAAGAGAAAATGAGGCAAATAAATCAAAATAAAAGAGAAAAGGAAAGAAAAGTAATTCAATGCAAGGGAGACGAGCATAGAGGAATTAGCTCTTTCTCTTTTTTTTTGAACCATTTCATGAAAGAGAGAAAAAGAAAACAAAACAAACATAACTAAAACTCTATATATTTCACCAAAGAAATATTCTCACACATTTTTTTTTTAAGAGGAAGTGATAGCAACTGAAGTATAAGGATACATTTTCTCTAATTACTTTCCATCAAATAAATGCACAAGTATGTCCTCTTAAAACAAAAGAAAAAAACTAAAATAATGATCATAAATTCGTTGGGTAATAAGTGTCGCATCCTTTACGAAATTTGTTGAACCAATGCTTAATACAATACTCCACATAAAATCTATACATTGAGATATAGAAAATGTTACGGTGACTTAAGCTTGTCATCAACCAAAGCTTAAAGAATGACTCAACAAAAATTCTCTACAAAAATACCAACATCAAGAAAGCACTAAACTCTTCATTAAAGAAATTTGGAGAAGACTTAATAAACAAAATGATTGTCCAAACTTACCAAGGACTATGTGAAAGAGAGTTCATTTAACATTTAGCTAAGTGGCTACACATGCTTCATGAGTATCCAACCAAATATCAACAAAATTTTCTTAAAGGGTATTTCACCGAACACCCTATGTACATGCTTTAGTAAAGAAAATGCAAAGCTCTTGTGGCTTCACATGTTTTACACCTAAAACTAAAGAAAACATGACAAGGAGCAAGAGAAAATTTAAGACGTCAATCGTCCATTCTAACTCAAAATAAACCAATCTATTTAAGAGAACTATAAATTAACACATCTTGCTAAAATCAACCATTATAATTGGTTCGTCACAAGCCACTGCAAAACTTAATGCAGTGAATGAGTGTATTCCATGATAAGAAAACATATCATAACACTTGCATTGTTGCATTGGCATGGTTTTCTACCAACCAAATCAGCCACCAAATTTTAGGTACGAATGAGGCACAAATGAGGCTAAGGAAGAGGAAGAAGAAGACTAAGAAGAAGAAGGGGAAAAAGAGAGAGGATCCAGAGGAGGAAGAGAAAAAGGCAAAGATACTCACCTTGCAAGGAGGAGTTTGCTCGGTCCAGGCGGCGTCGGCTTTCCCTGGATGTGTGAACTGGAACGGGAGGAGTGAGGAAGAGTTTGGGCGTCGGTGGTTCGGTCTGGCTTCGTGCGAACAGAGGAGAGAGGGAGCGAGTTCGTCGGCTCTCCCTGGCGTGCGTGAAAACGGAGAGAGGGAAAGAGGTCGGGTGAATGATTGAGAACGAGGGAGGGATCGTGAGAGCTGGACGTCGGTCTCCCCCGAACCTGCGAACTAGAGCGGGAGAGTGGGTGAGGGATTCGGCCTGGCTGGGTTGTGCGAACAGAGGAGGTGAGGGCCGGAAGAGAGGGAGAGCGAACGGGTTGCTGGGAGGCTTTGGGTCGCTCGGTCGAAGACGAGAGCTGGAGGGAGGGAGTTAATCGAGAGCCAGAGAGAGAAGGAGCTGGAGAGAATGAGGTAGCCGAAGGCTTCCTCTCGATCTTCTAAGCGTCTCCCCATGTTCTGCTTCGCTCGAATCATCGAAGTAGCCCTGCGACATTCTGCTTCTTCGCAAAATCGTTTGAAACGATTACCGATTCAGGAAGCTCACGCGACCGAAGCCTGCCATTGCGACAGAACTCGATTTTCAGGGAAATCTGCACCGTCGAAACCATTACTTGATCCGGTGAATGGATTCAAATTCATTAGAAAGTGAAAGGGATTTGGCTAGGATTAAATTGAACTGAAACGGGTCCCATTGGGTTGAAATTAGGTTAAACTCGAGTTCGAATTTGGCTCGATTCGAGTCGAATCGGGCTAAATCAGATTAAAATTGGCTAATATTGAGTTAAGCTCGAGTCCAAATTTGGTTCAATTCAAGTTGAATTTGGTTCGAGCCGGCGCGACGAAATTAACCGTACGAAATTGAGTTCGAAATAACGATCAATTTAAATAAATCGGCCACGACGCGATATAAACAAGCTATCGAGTCTAATCGAACATGTTCGAGTCCAATCCGGCTTGAATCGGGTCGATTCGAGTCCGAATTAGATTCGATGATGTTCGATTAAATCGATCGAGGGTGCTGAGCACGATCGAGCCAAAATCGAGGTCAACACTCTCGACGTCAAGTGGTGGCACGGAAGAAGTCTGGGCGTCATGTGGTGGTACGGTGGAAGTCCAGGCCTCACGTGGTGGCCTGGTGGAGCACAAGGCTTTAAGTGGTAGTCCGGCGGAGCAACAGCGCCAAGTGGTGGTCCGAAGGAGGTGAGGGCCTCAAGTGGTGGTTCGGCGGAACAACGACGTCAGGTGGTTCGGCGGAGGTGAGGGCCTTAAGTGGTGGTCCGGCGGAGCAACGGCGTTAGGCGGTGGTCCGGCGGAGGTGAGGGCCTCAAGTGGTGGTCCGATGGAGCAACGACGTCAGGCGGGGGTTCGGCGGAGGTGAGGGCCTAAAGTGGTGGTCCAGCGAAACTCCGGCGGTGGTCGATGAGGCTAGGAAGCAAGAG